AGAGTGCAATAAAGAGTAATAGTGCAAAGCAGTATTCAAATTTAAGAAAAATGTAGGCTTGTTTAAGAGAAATACGAATGAATTCAAAAACTCATCCAGACAGTAATGAAAACTGTGTTATGTGACAAGGAGAACAATGTCTACCAAACTGTTATATTAGATACCATATTTACCTTGATATTGCCTCAGTTGTAATTGCTGTTCTACTGATACCAGATGTTGTCCTGCTAACGATACAGGAATTCCTCCAACATGCAGTCCAGGAATAGCAGACAGTGGTATCTGATGCATGTTAGGATTATGTGGGTCCATCATCATTTCGGGTTTAACATCAAGTTTTGCCAATCTTTCTCTTTCCCTCATATCATTTTCTGCCCCCTAATGATTAAAATACAAACTGTTCAGATAAAATATTAAATAGTTGAATGTTTTGAAATCTATCATGAGAAACTATGAAAATTACTTTAAAATATCATAAAAATATTTTCCGATGGCTGTCACATCTCACCCAATAAGTAATAATTCAAAAAGCATAAAAATCTGAAACATCATTCAAAGATGGGAAAAATCATAGTCCATAGTTGATATTTTGGAAAAAACACATTCTGAATTATTCCTAAAGGCAAGAATTTAAAATGTTGAATATATTTTATTTCGTATCGATTCATTTAAACATCTCTGCTTTTATCATTTCTTTTTTCATAATTTTCAACCAAAGCGAGATCACAATGAATAACTTAGAAGTTAAACAAAACCCCCTTATGAGTAGAGGTACATGAGTGGTCATGAACGTGAAGAAACTACAGTAACATTCACCAATATTCAATAAACCCCTACCAGATATTTATTAGTTTGGGTTCTGTAATATATATTGGAAAAAAAAATTAAGATAACTTACAGCTGCCGCCAGTGACGAATAGTAAGGATGTAAATGATGCATGGAACTCATTGCTTCAGCAGCCTGTCTTCTCATTCCAATCTGTTGTAGATTATTACTATATTGCTGGAGTTGACGTAATGCTGGAGTGTCAGCTCCTAATGGCGACATGAATGGGGCAGGTGGAGGTCTAAAAAAATATTTTGAGTTTGAAAAACATCTCGCTAGTCCTGAATACAATTAAAAAAAAATTGTACTACTCAATTTGAAGTTGGAAAAAGTCAAGTTGGCCAAAACTTTGCAGACGCAGCTGACCACCAACTACATTGATTATTTACCTACACTATTAATTATATCTTGAAAGAGATGGTGTGCATGCTGTTCAAAACAAGATTTTAAAACTCGTGTCAGCATTTTAGTCGAGTTCAACGCTCTCTCATCACCATGCCAACACTCAAAATCAGATAATGATTACCAATACACAAAGTAGTTAATTTCTTAAACAATAACAGATTACAGAAGTCCTATATCTAGAAACAACAGCAAAGTTCATGTGTATACCTGTGATGTTGTTCATACGATGCAGACGTCGGAGTTCTTGTTGGAGTTGATCGTGGCACATTACTGTGGCTCGGAGTTGACCTGTGAGCTTGTGGTGGTAAAGATGACGAAGACAGTGGTCCTGGCCCTTCACGACGCGAACGATCTAATGATTCGTTCTAGAATAAATAATAAAAAACTTTTGCATTTCACTCTATTAATATACGAAGTTCGAAAGTTGCGTTCAAAACTGAAAGTTGTTGCACATAGTTCATATTATCAATACCAGTTTTTTTACTTCTGAAGTATTCCTAACAAAGATGGCGGGGAGTCGGGGACACCGGAACATAGTATATGTACCAGGTTAGGGTAAGGCCATAATTTTAGGCATAAATACTAAGGGAGTCACTTGGCTAGTCTCCGAATTCCTAATAGAATTAAAATAAGAAAAATTGGAATGGAATTATGGCCTAACCCTAACCTGGTACACATATACATTCCGGTGTCCGCCATCTTGGTACGCATACTTCAGGAGCACTCCAGATTTCACCATATATTTTTTAGCTTATTGGTTTTGAATTAGGTAAAAGCCATAAATCTTATTTACGAAATTGACACAAAGTGAAGATATCATTTCTTTAAAATTCTTTGACCGGTCTTCTTATATCCATATATCCATTTCACTGAATCATATTCTTATTTAATTTAGACCAAAAGGTGACCCGCAAACAAAAAAGAACCCAAAGTTTCACAATAACTTCTACAAAAGTAAAGAAACTTCTGTTTATGTATGATTGTACCCAAATGTTTCAGTAATCTAGGATGCTTTGTACAAAAGTTATGTTAACACTAGAACAGTGGTTATCAAACGGTGGGGTGCGCCCAACAAGGGGTAGACAATTTTTTGATGAGGCGTGAAGCTAATTGAAAATAAAAAATTTGTCAGATTTAATATTGCCCACCTTATTTTCATAAAAAGTTTGAGAACCACTACTCTAGAATATTATCCGAATGACCTGGATTCTGCTTTTCTGCGTCACTCTGTACTAACTCCTAATAGTAATAACCCTAAAAATAATGTACATTAACTATACCCGGTTGACTTCATAAGTAAAGAAAACATACCTTCTCCTCTCTCTTTCTGTCATGGTCACTGTGTGGATGACTATGAGGTGGAGTACGAGGTCGTTTATGGGGTGGATGTCTCATGGGATCATGGGGTTGAGGAGGTGGAGCAGATTGTTGTTGTTGCTGTTGGGATTGTTCTTTCTTCCGGAATTCAAGTTGACCCTGCCTCTGTTTTTCCATTGAAATTTTGTCAGGATTAAAAATATAGTCAGTGCGAAAGCAAGAGTTTGGTCCTCTGTTCCATATTTTGCAAAATCTGTAAAAAAAGATGTAAATATTACTAATGATATAATCAATGTTTCATTGAGTCATTGCATTAAGTATTGCTTAGTTCAAAAACACATTTATTTGTTGTATTGAGCACTGTAGAAAAGGCGAGAGAAGAGAATATCGCTTAGCCTTACAGCAATGAAGGCACCGGATAAAACGGCAAAAGATTTAACTCAGCAAACAGCAAAAAACATTATGTAGTTTTACCCATGTGAGTGTATTTTTAACATAAACTGTCGGGTTAGGATCCCATGCTTGATGGGGAAAATCTCAGTGTTGATAAGGGCCACACACCACACTAAATGGCTTGGCGGGCCAGGCCAGCCTGTTGCACACCCTTGGTCTAGTGATTTACGACTAGGCCATCATGCCTCAAATTTATGAACGAAGTTGCATACCTGGCACTGCTCCCATGATGAATGATTTCTTCAACACGAACAGGTGGAGGTGACTTTATTCTCTGCTCACCAATCAGTTCCACATCTGAATCATCTTGCGGCTGTGATCCCTGCTGTAATAAATTCGTTATTTTAACCAAATATTATAAAGCTGTATGATATACTGAACCATGGGCGAACTGCGGGCCAAATCAAGCCCGCTGGGTGATTCACTTGATGGCCCACTTGATTCTGCAACAACCAAACTAAAACCAAATTTTGATGTTTAATAAGCTAAAAATTAGCTCAAGGAATTTGTTGAGATTGCGATTCAATTTAGTTTTGGCACGAGGCTTATTGCTTTCACTTCTGCTTTTATGACACTGTAAATATTGTTCATAAAATGTAACTTTATACGCCACACTCACACAACCCGTCAGTCAAGGTGGGCAAAATGTTTGGGCTCTGGTCCAAAAACCTTTCCGACCCCTGCATATACTGATGCATATATCTTACCGCTGAATGATGTTGTCCAGGGTATGTGGTCCTTGGTCTTGGTGAAATTGCTGCTTGTGGTCGACTGGCACCGTGGTGGTGAGATAGAGATGGATGACCCGGGTGTCGTGGGACTGATAAAGGGGGTCGTGATCTGTTAGTGTAAATCAATAGTATAGTAAGAAATGGCCAGAACCAAATAATAGACTATTTTTAATTAATTCCAACTCAATATCTTCAAATATTATATATTATGATGGATCATTTAACAAAGAACACAATCATAGGAGTCAATATACAAAGTGTAGATAAAATGAAGTGTAGATAAATTAAATTAGGTAAAAAAAGTATATCCAATGATATGTAAGGGGCTACTAGAGATGAGTATTGTTTACTTCAATTGTGTGTGCTTAAGCTTGCTTTGTGCAAATCTCCTGAAAAAAAGACGTGCTTAATTTATAGAACTCCAAGTTGAAATGATAAAACTCACCCATGGGGAACAGCACCCTGGGTAGGTGGTGGTGGTGGTCCTGGATGTCGAGCTTGTGGGTAAATTGCACCAGGTTTATGATGTACTTGCTGGGGATGATCAGATATAATATGATGTGGTTCTTGTTTTATATGCTGAGGAATGGGAGATGCTCTAGTAGGAACTGCATGATGTGGTACTGATAATTGATGACTCTGCGAACTGGACGGCGAAACAGTTCGTGTTGGTTCTTCTTTTATCGCCATTCGAGGCATGTTAGCATTTGAAATAATTTGGTCCGTCACATAAGGATCGAATGGAAATCTGGATTTCTTCATTGGGGCTGGATGTCTTGGTACATAGTACGCCAAATTGCTTTTATCATCTACTGGTCGAGATGGTGGTGAGATTCTTCCACTGTGACTTGGGTAGTCCGATGACCTATGGGGGGCCTGCATTCGTGGCCGAGACGATGACTCCAACCCTCCAACTGTTGTTGTATTTTCAGGTGGACGTGGAACATTGTTAGGTTCTGAGTTCCTAGGATGATCAACTGTGGGACTTGATCGAACAGTGCTAGTCATTGTCACAGTGGTTGTAGCAGATAATGAATACTGAAAATACAAAAAAGGTTATTTGTAATGTAAGAATATCAATGAGAATAACGATAATTCTTTGAGTACGGTAATTAGGTTTTATCTTGATTCGTAACTTTTTTTGTGGAAAACTATGGTCCGATGAAAGCAAATATAACTGCCTTCTTGCGGAAAGAGATTGTATAAAAAAGTGTATTCTTGGAATGGCATATGATCTTTCAGATCCCCCTTTTTTCAAGCGACAAAATTGGTAAAATCTCGCAACCCAAGAATACTAAATGACATGTAGAATTTTTATGGCAACAAAATAAAATGACCAAAATGAAACAATTATTTTTGTATCACATTTCTTTTCCAAAAATACCCTCAAAGTAAGAAAGCAGCGATTTTCTGCTATCAGCGAGTATTTGAAACTTTGGTTTTCGTAGCAAAAACAAGCTACCCAAGAAACTTTTTAGGGCCAACCAGTTTTGTGAAACACTGTTTCAAAGTGCGAAGTTCAGACTAGTTTTTCTTCGGCTACCCATCAGTTTCAAATTTTGCCTTGAGGCACACACACCACATAGTGACACATGATGGTTTCAAATTGAAAACTCTTACTTCAAATAAATTGACTATATAAATAGTACTTACTGCGGATGTTGGAGCTGCACTTGTTGGCACTTGGGTCTGTGTGATTGGTGGGGTTCCAGCTCCCATATATCCAACAGTTGGGTATATATTCCTTGATATTGCTCCCGTATTCAACGCCATTTTTGACATATTTTCTATTTCTGTAGATTTGCCTGATATGAGAGCTTGACTTTGCGCAGTAGAAACAAATGGCGACAACCCAGCTGATGATGACGATAATTTATAAAGGTGAGGTGGACCACTTGGTAACGATGATGATAATTCGGTCTGGCCTGGAATAATGGATTTTCCTATTGAATGTGGAGCGGAGACACTCACAAACGATGGGTGAATTTTCTTTCCTGGAATGATACTTGGTGGTAAGGAACATGTATGTGGTGGTGAAAAAGGTTTGCAATCGATGAATGCTGGACTTCCTTTGACGTTACCTCCACTAGATCTGAATACGAAAAAAAAAACATAATTTTCATCTCATTGTTAGATTTATCTATTTGGTCAAAAGAATAAGCTCATAAAATCATTTTACAGTGGCTTAGTAAATAGTGGATTATAATGACGCGTGCAGTTTAATATGAAGTACTATAAGTATGATCTTGTATAGGTAGCCATAAAAATATGTTGGTATGTTTCATAGTTCAAAAATTCAAACGATAAAAGTAATTGTGGTTAAATAATAATAAAACTACTTACATGAGAGGGCTAGGTGAACTTCTTGGTACACTAGATTGGTTATCTTGTGTGTCATCAACAACCTAAACAAAAAAGAATAAATGAGCTTCATAGACTGTAATTCACGGGAATTGATGATGAAAACTTGACTAAAAGGATTTTTATTCCGACATTTCGAGCCAGCATTTTAATACAAATATTGGCCAGTTTTGGATGCCCATTTTTAAAAACCTAATCTGGTTCAAGAATTCTTCATTACAGATTTTAAATAAAATTTCTTCTTGGATATAGGACAAACTTTACTTGGAAAAATGTCAACATCATAATCATAATTTCACTCAAAAAATAGATTATTTTACAGAATTACAAGATTTTGCAAATTTTACAGAAAAAAAAATCTTGATTAATTAAACTTTTTTTCAAATTTACAATTTAAAATTTTTTCAACCTGTGCTTTAAGAGTTTTACTATTCAGAAAATCAAGTTTTCCTTTTTATTAGTAGAAATCAGTTTTTGAAATCATAGTAAAAAAGGAAATAAAAACAATGATGTCCAAAACAAATAAAAAATTTTTATCAATTTAAAATTAATTCTACTACACAAGTTCAAACTTAGGAATTTAATTTAATAAGTTATTTTTTTGCAGTTGAAATCTCACAGAAAATAGAGAACTAATTAGATATTTCTCATCCTGAAATCTCAACTTTCCTGCGTTTCCAAATTCAAATTCGTTGTGATTAGGCATGTGATCATTCTTAAACAAATTTGACAAACGTTGAATATATTCAAAATTCATAATGAAATAGTATTTTGAAATTTATTCAGGATAATATACTATTCGGTTTTGAGCATCTCTGCAAAAATTGTGTCGACAGGTATGACTAATTCTCTAGGATTAGAATATAAAGATCAAGACTTAAGCGAAATGCAATAAAGTTGCGTTGCCAGTTGCCACACTCAGGTGCATCAAAAAGAAGAGTTCATTGCATTAATAATGAACGAGAGGTTGCCATTTATGTTGCTCGGATGTAAGCAGAAAATCAATAGTGTCATTTTGGTGTAAGCTGCCAAGAAAAAAAATTTAATTTTCACAGTAAAATAGTAGTACCAGACAAAATGGTATTAAATTGCAAATTTTTGTCTTCGTATTTCAATTATACCAAAAGCGTAAATGAAAATTTGAGATTAAGATGTCGAAATATCCATCATTCTTTTGCAAATTGAAATTTTGTAGGTAAGACAATATATTAAATTTAAATTGAAAAAAAAATAAAAATGGAACTACAAAATATTGAAAATTAAAATAAGGAAAAATGTAAGATTTCAAGTTTTCACCCATCCAAATTAATGTTTGTTAATCAATCAAGTCTATATCATACTTGGCTAATAGATATTTCTACTACTTCTTTATATTACAGTAAATGGCTAGGAATCTGAAATCATGCATAATTTATCAACAAAATTGTAAGATTAAAAGACGTCAATCATTGCACAAATAAATAATTATTACTCCACATCCACTCTACTTAATGGCCTGGATGTCCAAAACTTTTTGTTAATTTATACCCTATCCAAGTTCGAATCATCTATGGATCCACAGCACATTTAAAACCCAATTTGTAAAGTTCTTTTATCAATGTCCGAGCGATAAGACACTCTTGAGACCGATTAAGCGATTTTTATTTCGATTTCAGATTTCAAAATCATATGTGAACACGTCCTTTGTCATTAGGAATATGTGAGGACCATGCATGAATTGAAATATGATAGAAAAAATAATATTTGAAATAGTGTTAATATAATTACAAAAATGCCTCAAAAGCGACCTACCTGGTCTGGTTCTGTTTTTGGGCGTTTTAAATCAGTAGAAACATCTTCATGTTTCACTTTTGTTTCTTCTGAATCAGACCACTGTCGTTTGCTCGAATTCTAAACAAAAGGAATAATTAGTGAAGCAACCCAAGATTTGAAACAAATAAAAATTTGACATTCTAGAATTCTATTTTGTTATTAATCCTTATTTCATTCCATCCATGCAATTAAATTTTTTTTTACGTGGAAGCAATTTAAAGACCTCGGACTCAAGTCTCATACCAATCTGTAAAAGGGAGGTTTCAGTCCTTACGAAGACATTTTAATTACCAGTGTGAGTAGAAATCCCTAAATTCCGAGTCAAGTTGGGTCACAGGCTATCCTACTTTCAAGTCGTAACCGAGTCAGTAGTCAAGTCAATAGTTGAGTCTGACACATTCCGTTTCATGACTTGAGTATTTTGCTTTGATAGATTGTGACTTAAGTCAAACTTGCATCGACTGGATGACTCCACCCTCCCCAACACTGGTTAATTACATTTAATTGTAAATGCATCCAAGGACAGTGGCGAAACCAGGAATTTACAAAATGGGGGGGGGGGATTCTGAAATTTGAAATTACCAAGTTAGACCGTAACAGCTAGCGGAGTAGGCTGGAAAACGTTGGTTTTCAAGAGTATTGCGAGTCTAGCATTTCAAGCTACGAAAAATCGCTGTGTAAAATACAGAATAATATTCTTTTTTGCAATTCGAAAGGGTGGTTCCGACCAAAAAACCCCCCTGTCTGTGGATGCTTCTATTTGATACAAATGTGTAAAAGACACCCCTCGAAGATCTTCAGGGTATTCCAAACAGAATTAACTTGAACATGATGTCATACTTTTTGTCATCCTCATCACATTACCTTAGATTCAGCTGTAGAGTTGACTTTTGCCAAACTTTTTGCTGGTTTTCTTGGAATCAAGTTATTCAGTTTTTCTTCTTTAATTGGTTTATACAGGAAAGGTGGAAGTTGGCTTTTAGCTGCAGGAGGCGTATCAATATCAGTCTGAAAAAGACAAATAAACTATCAAACACTATTCAATATATGTAGATTTGAATTAAAAAAGTTCAGTAAGAAAAATTATTTAGCAGATCCATTATGGAATACTTTCTCAAAGTTTGCAAAGGCTTTAAAGTTTAAGCATACTCGATAATTTTGTGCAATGAAAATTATTTTTGTAGTGTAAAATAAAATATAAGTAACTGTTACGATGAAAAAACCATCTAATTGTGGTAGCATAAATTATTTAAACAGTCGAATGCAATTATAAATCTGCATCTTCTTGATTTAGAGTAGCAACGTGTTATGAAGACTTTTTTAAATTACGAAGAAAATTTTTGCACTCAAAGAGTGAATCTACGGATAATCTCGCATTGTTGAGAAAAATGGCTTGCTGGCTGAATTGTAAACAAGATAAAAGGAAAGATGTAACTAACCTCATTAGCAGAATCAATATCTTCAACTTTAATCACGGGTCGATTTTCACCGTACTTTTTATAGAAAATTCTGCAATCAGTACATAACATCAAACCGTCTTTACCTCCAAGTTTCCAGTCTTTTGAATCTAAAATCAAAAAAAAGAAGCTGGTTAAGACTCTTTCGAATGGCAAGATTTCAAGAAATCCATCTACTAGATGGTTAGAAATATGCTAGCTATTGCACCATCTCTGATTACTAAATGTGAATTTGCAGGTATTACTTATGGGGAATAGTAAGCCAGTCGGTTTACCGATTCCTCCATCATCATGTCTATGAGACAAATGATCATTTCTATATCCCCAACCCCAACAAGCACTGGAAAATAGTGGAGAAGCGATGGATCGTCATATGATTAGTCCTCTTTAGCTAAAACCAACCCTAGAATAAATATGGAATTCCTATCTTCTTTTGTGTATTGTTTTCATATTAAACTGTAAACCATGCAGATGGTGCGGAACAGCATACGAAAAGCAGGATCTCACAAGCAATACTGCTGTTGCTTTACAATGTAATATAAAGCAGTGGTTCTCGACTGCAGAATTGCTAAGAGACACAAATCCATCAACACCATCTGACCGTGAGTGAAAAAACTGATAGAAAATAGAGAGTGGATTTTGAACATTTCAACTCGATGCAATGAAGGTCACTGTATCTGTGTGATGGCTAAACTCTTTTGCATTTTGATTTTGTTTAAAAGATCTCTAAGATAAGAAGAGTTCTATCTTGAAAGTCTATTCAGTGAGCAATTAGACTTTTCTGCGTTATGAATGACAAAATGATTTAGAATAATATACAGCGATATATAGCGATAATGATAACATACTTGAAGTGAGACAATGTTTGCATTTATAATTATTTGTTTCTTTTTCACTCTCTTCACTTTCCTCTGTTTCTTCTTCTGTGGAAGTTTGATCACCTGAGTAACAACAACAAGAGAGTGATATTAATGGAGTGAAAAAAAAGAAAGCAGTCAAATTTTCAGAAACTTTTCAATTCGAGTATTTTGAGTAAATTTTTCTCAATTTCTGAATGGCTCAACAAGTTTTCTATGTACACTTTTTAAAATGAATTCAATTTCTTTGATAAATATGCCAAAGATCAATTTCCACTATGAAAATAATAACAACAAACTTTTTGTTGGTAAAGAGTAAAATTTATAAGAAAATGCTGATACAGCATGCTAGAAAAGTTCATCAATGAAAATGGAATATTCCAAACAAAATTTAATCCCAATTCGAACTGCTATTGAGGGGAATTTTCGGAATATCCAGATCTTATGGAGATTTAAAACTAAATGTCATTGATTATATTTCCCCACCTGAACCAGTAGTTCCATTCTTTGGTTTTCCAGATTTTTTCAAGGCAGCTTGCCTCCTGTGTTTTCTATGATGTGGTCGGATCATCAAACTGTCCTGAGTTTTCTTCCACAGATAATAAAATTCAACCAGTTCGCCCTAAAGAAATGAGTTAAATCAAATTTAAAATTTCTTGAGATTTTAAAATGTTGTTGTAATGAATGTTATAAAGCCACACCGATTAATGGCCAATTAGAAACATTCGAAATGAATTATGTTCGCTTAAATGAATTCTGGGTTACATGAAGGCAGGTTCAATTATTTAATAGTGAATGTAGAAAAAATACAATAATTATTCATTTCTCTTAGTCGAGACTCAAAGTTTAATTTCCATACATATTCAACAATTGGTGTGTTTTCTGTAGAATACAGTTGACAAAACAAGTTGAAATGGAATTTATTTGAACTGGAACTTAAGTTTTTTGATGATTGGCAATTTTCGAAACTGCTCTACAGAATTGAATTGCTGATTGAGATTACGATATTATCTCCTACAGTTATTTTTTATATGTAAAACAGCCTATTAACAACATGATTGTTTCAGCTTGAATTGATATTTAACTATTTATTCATGGTTAAAAAGTATAATAACATTTTCATTTAGGGGAAAGATCCAATAAGCAGGTAAATATAATAAGTATGTAAACTTTGACCCCTGTATTTGCGAAGCTGTAAATAATATAAGATTAAGTACCAGGAATTCAATTTAATACAAATTTATGATGCTAGGACTATTGAAGATGGACAAGGCAATAAAATTTACAGGGAAAATTATTAAATTTTAATATGACTTTTTATTGATATATGTTTAATTTGTTTGCAAACTATGTATGCTTCACCAATACATAAAACGCTTTGTCACGAATAATTTTAATTAAATATATCACTATGTATGAATTGTGTGTATTGTGTCAATAACATCTTAAAAACCAAATTGCCCATGAAGTCTTTATTCAAATGCAAATACCGTCCTTCAATTTAAATCAAGATATTCTGTTTATACAGTGTACATTCTATAACGGGGCACAATTGAACAACATAAAATCTTTAGCTTATATTCCATTATTCATCAACAAAAGGACTATGATTTAAAGTACTAACTCCTGCAATTAAAGTTTCAAAAAAGCAGAAAAAGAGATCCAATCTGTTATCGTGAAGTGTAAGTTTGACATGGCCTGATGGCCGAGCGCAGAAGTGTGCAAAATTTTTTGTCTGCGGGCCATATGACCAACTCCAGACATTTAGCTGGGCCACACAAAAATTTAACTTTATCCATGTACATAACTAATAAAATTCTCACAATGCGTAAATTTTAATCGTGTAAAAGGAAAACCTGAATTTTGCCTTCTTGAATACTTTGTTAACATCAGCTTTGACAGATTTATGCTTGATGGGTAAAAATCTAGAGTGTTGACAAGGGCCACACTAAATGACTTGGCAGCCGGGTTGTGGCCAGCAGGCCGCCTTCTACGCACCCCAGGACCAGCAGTTATTAATAAGGTGTTAGACTTAACTGTGTTGGCATTGCAGATTACACTTACACATGCCCACCACCTCACCCAGGGCGTATTAAATTGGGCAGATAATGTCGAAGCACTCCTTCCAAACTAAGTAGCCCCTAACTTAGCAGTAGCTGCTTTTTTAGGGCCTTATTCAGTTCAAAAGGAATATGAATAAGCAGAATTAAAAAAACCTTAATCATGTTTAAATTAGTCTGTCATCTAATTAGATTCTTACAGACAAGTTGAAGTTTAATTAACAAGTAAGATGGCAAGCAATAGAATTCCATAGAGACTTAGTTCTGATAGAAAAGCAATTAGACACAATTTGTGGTAGGATTGAAGAGACACCCTATTTCATCAGATATATTGATGGGGGCATTTCATCTCTCATCAACATTGTATTAAAGGCTTAATGCGTAAGATCTCAGACCAAGAATTTGGATATTTCAGTTTTTATTTAGAATACTGATAAAATGAGAGGTGGGAATGTAAAACGTAGGTTGTATAGACCATAATTGATAACTGGAAGATGAAATATGAGTAGGGGTTTTATCAAACATGATAATACGATAATTATTGGCTCATACAGGATAAGTAGATTTTTATTAATCTCAAGAATACATATCTTTAATGGACATAGGGGATAATATATCATTGGGCCATGCTTGTAAAACATATATCATTAAAATCAGAATTGAAAGATTGAATAAAAAACCAAACTTGATCGTGTATATCCGAAAAATAAAATCACCTTTCCAATTTGCAGCTGCCTGTTTCCAATGTTAGTTGTTAAAGATTAAAAAGATTAACAGGAGCAAATGGTAAGTGTCAGACAAGACCGATAATTATGTTTCTTATTTTCGAAAACAAGGGTGTGGTAGGTCTGATCTCATTATGATGGTATATACAGATAGTGTTATTTATTGTTGGTTGTGCTCGCTTTTTAATGAATGTTTGATTAGAAGAGCTAGAAATACATTGATGTACATCTTTATAGGGAATTATATATCTATTAGTTCAATTTGATGGAAATTTGAAATATATGAAAATGTTGTTTAATTTGCTGATTGTTTTTTATAATATCGAGAAAGGTTATTTCAAAGGAAATAAGCATGGCTTATACATTTTTTAATGACAAAAATTTCTTTATTTCGAAATAGATTTTTGTTCCATTGTAACATGTATAATGCTCTACAGTCTTCAAATGAAAAAATAAGATGGAAAGTACTGCTTTTTCATACAATTAAAATCAACAATTTTATTTACTTACTTTCAATATAAAAAAATGATTGTAATCAATAATAGTATGCTAAAATATTCAAATATTTATAATACAGGATTGATTACATAAATACCTCTTAGAAAATAAAGAAAATTTATTTGACACTTGAACTTTTGTTTGTGTATAATTGTACCAAAGAAAATTTCATCAATCTAGGATACTCTGCGAAAAGTTATGTTTTTCCTAGAATATGTTACAAAGAATCTGGATTTTTTGTTGTTGAAGGTCACCTTGTATTCCGCCAAGGTCGACACAAATTAGGAAAATATATCACAAACAGGTTGACATCAAAAACCATCTAAAAGGTCATTTGTCTACATTAACATATCACATTGCAAAACAAATTTTGAATAAAGATCACAATGGGTATAATTTCATGTTAAAATGCTTTCTAAATTTCAAACAAATCAAAACTGTGACTTTGTATATTTTTTTAAAAACAATTGATTATTTTCGGTTACGGATGGTGTTGATAACAGCTTATCAAAAGATGTTAAAACATCCCACAATCTACTTTTAAAATTGTAATCTTGTGATAAGAGGCGATTAATGTCAAATACAGCATTTTATAATATAGTTGAACCTTGTTTACCTATTTAATATCGATTACATTGTTTATTTTGAATATAAATAAAAGGACTCAAACAATAATGGAATTCAGAAACAACACACCTCACATAAATTAAGTACTAAAGAGTAAAATTCCATAAAAAGATTTTGACATTATAATGATGTCATGGACTCATAATGGATAATAACAAATCAAATAACGAATTAATTACATGCAAATCAGAATGACGAGATACTAAGAGAAAATAAAGCCATTTTTAATGAGAAACTTTAATTATATACATATATGGAAGGCAACAAATGATGGGTATATGAAAGTAAAAAGAGATCTGCTATCGATAAATTTTGAATTTTGAAATTTTGAACTGTATTTGAATATCAAACATAATTTGAGCCGATGAAAATCTAAAATGTTGAGTTTCATACAGCCTAGCATGTCTTCAATTGAAAGTTTATTGCAAATGCACAACCCAAAGACAAATACTGTTAACAATTCAAAAAGTTACCGTTTCTTTCATAGGAAGTAGCTCTTTCTTAATTCTGAAAAAATTCTTTCCATGTAATCTCAGTCCTCTCTGAAAGCGTTTCTGAAAAAAAACATCAAAAATTGAGAAAGATCTATTTGTGATAGTAAAATTTTAACAACAAATTTATTATGATCAATAAAAGTTGAGACAAATATTAATAAAAAGGCCATTCATTTGCTAGATTTGAAATGATGATCAGATGAATATACAAAATAAAACACTAAACCATTCAAAATGAAAATATTTCAATATTATATAATGCATTACATTATATCAAGACCAAAAGAGTTTCACATAATAGCATTCAGCCCCTTCACATGTATCCCATTTCCTTTCAATACCTTTTTTACAATATATGGGAGTTAATATAGCAGTGGGCAGTGGAAAGGTACATTGTACAGAACAGCCAAGTCTCCTTTACATTTGGGAGAATATGCATGATTTTCATATTTACTAGTTGGATTAAACAATTGATAGAAAAGCAGTTTTATTCCAACCAATTGCCAAATGTCTATTTGTAACCATATAAATTATTGTTCTGCACAATACCAGATATTTAATTTCATTATGAAGAGTGAAGATGACGCCGGTATATTGTAACTAGACAAAAAGTAGTGGGTCTGCCACATGATAAGACAATCTTATTTCTTTCCTGTACCTACGAATCGATATGAAAACCCTAATACATGCTTAGGTAATATTAGGTGTAAATTACTGATTGCACGTGAAATCAATTTTGACTTTGAATAATTATTAAAAATTTCATTTCAGCAAATTTTATTTTATTAATCCTTAAATGCAATTCAAATTCTGTTGGTTTCTTCAATTTCTAATAGCAAGAATTATCTTATAGTCTTCATCCGCTGTTATGCCGCCAAATTAGTGGATTTTGATAAGGTTCACTGAATTTGGTTACAGAAGGTCAATTATTTTAGCAATGGAAAAACAAATCGAGTGCCAGATCACAACCTTTAAGTAGGGTCGGTTACATTGAGGCACGCACAAACAACAAGTTGTAACTCAAGTGAGGTGAACCTACTGAAAACATTGTAAAATACCTATCACCTGCTTGAAATCTGTATTAACTACAAATTTGTGAATGCTTGCCTCCCATAAGTAACAATGTTGGATACTTCAGCATTGTATTATCAATAAAATATGGCAAAGTGGGGTGGCCGGTGGAGCCTAAGCTAACTGTATCAGTGAGATTTGATTTCTGTGTATTTCAATGACAAATCAAAGTCCACTTACAAACCAAAGTTGTAACAAAATATAAGACAGATGGCGCTCCAGAAGTATGTGTACCAATATGTAGGTAACTAATTTTGTCGCAATATTACAAATGCGCCTGCCTTTATGAAGCTGTTTTATTTTGTAAAATTTGTGATAAATATAAAACATAAATTGGCTATAAAATATGTCTATTTTTGAATAATTACACTAACAAAGCTAATGCAGAAACTTCAAATGTGGTAAGTTAAATATTTCTTGCCTAAATTATTTGATTCAGCAAACAAAAGCTCTATTTTCTCCTCATACAATTCTTTAATCATTACCGTACGTTAAAGACCTCAATTTTGTATTTACGCATTTGAATAATTGTGTTTTACATGAGTGTATAATTAACACTTGAAGTAAGCGTCAGAACATTTCCTTTATTCGAAAATAGATGTAATTTTAAAATGATACTGGCAATTAGGCCATTGGTATGGTTTTATTACCATCTCATTTAATGGCAATACACTTGAACTAAAATACCTTTTAGACCAGTTTACAAGAAACAATGAGTCAATAAGATGGATATCATTTTCGAATACACGAAGTGACTTGAAAATTTTATGATTTTGAGATGTGCCATTTTGAAATTTTACCTTCGTACAAAAAATTAAATATATATATGTATATATATGTAAATATTTCATTTGGAAATTCCCGAAAACATTTGAAATTGGATTTATATTCGATAAGGTAAATTAGGAATAATTTGGAATACTTTAATTTAAAAACTTGTTATTTTGTGCATTTATTATCAGATGCTTTGGACAAGAATTCATTCAGTATAGTAAGTTATTTGGTTTTGACCATCCCTGATTTTATATTTTTGACAGTTCAGCTTCAATTCTATAGCAAGAATTCAACATTGAGTTGCTGTATATTTATAACCAATGACAGAAGGTTACATGCATTTGATGGGGAAAATCCAATTAAAAGTAGACAATTTCCGGTAAATGTCATGATATATCTAGCAAGGTTCAAGTATGTGAATAGTTCGCAATGAATCTACACACATATCAAGTATTTTGTTAAAATAAGAAGTGAAATCGCATAGTGAGGTTCTAGTATATATATCAAGGTATTTAAACATGGGCATACTGATATTGCTTTATCATAATCGACTTCAAACGGAAAAGCTTATAATAAACAACTTATTCTAAAATCATGTAGAAATAAAACCGTACTTACTACATGGAACATAAATTGAAATCTATAATTTTTAAAATGTTGGGCATATCACTGTATTGGACGAAGTACAAAGTTATATATGAGACATAGTGTTAGTTCATACATGTGTTACTGCGTGTATAAATTGTACAGTCAATCAGTGGATGAAAATCAAGTGTTAAAAAAAGGATTTTTTTTTATACAGAAATGATATGTTGACATCTTCTATTGTTTATCATTCGCTTCAATCAAGTGACATTAATTTAACTCCACTAAGAGTGTATTGAGTAGCGTTCACCTAATATCCACCAATATCATTAGTATTAAAGTCGTGAGTAATTACTCAGCGGTAAAGTGTTCTAACAAATTAAAATTTGTAATGTTTACATGTACGATACCAATAGAAATCTCTTACAGGAAACCATAAACAAGTAAATGCTGAAGTAAAATGAATCACGTAAACTTTTGAGTGTTTACCCACACCTTTCAACACAATGGATTACGTTAAGAAAAGAATGACGATCTTTAATGCTTTTGTAGCCAAAATAGTACGATGATTGAATTCACAAAATAAGCACCTACCTATTGACAAAGCTTAGTATTATAGCAACGTAATTACAGTACTGAATTCCAATCATGATAGATTATTTTAAAAATATATCACGATTAACTTGAGTAAAACCAAAACTAATTGAACAGAAACAGAAGTGGATAAAGTGGCAAAAAAGGCTTATTAAAGAATTTGAAAATCCTATTCAATCAATCACATTGAAGGAATCAAATATATAAAACTTTTGTAAGATAAAAATAAATATTGAGCTTCTTAAAAAATAATTCACAATATATATGATTTTTCATAACCTTGAATATCTATACGTGACCATTCAAGTCTAAGTGTTGTCTCTTTTATTGATAAGTTTTCCAGTTTCAGCTGAAGGCTTGTAAACTTTTTTTGATCAGTGCATAGCGAAGAATATTACACCATAGTGCGTGATTAGAGATTTATTATCTACTCTATACAATTTAAAATTAATTTAAATTTGCTTTCTATTTAATCCCCAAGTAATTAAGGCTGTTAAATGTAGCAGTGTCAATTTAAAATGCCAATGTTCATTATCGTCATGATATCAATTAATTATTTAGAATATTAAATTTTAGAGGAATCGCACTACGTAGCCTGCTCGAGGTTTAGTTGAACGCCGGAAAATTCTGAAAAGTTTAGCGGGATAAATGTTTCCTGCTCACCGCAAAGATATGTGAATATCCCGATCTCTCTCTACATATTTGAAACTATTGATTAATAGGTGCCAAAATAAAAATAAAGTGACAAGTATGATTCACACAATATGATATCACAAAAGTAAAATTTTAGATTACTATCGGAAAGATGATAAAAAGTTTGTGACGCATTTGAAGAACTTGATATGATCGTATTTCGTCATTTGATTCCGTCGCAAAAATGCGTCTTACCTACTATGGTTGTTGGACGTCTTCGTAAAAACGTTTTAACAACGCACGAGCGACATTGTACTAATATTTATTATTTGACGAAAACTGATGTCACTAATCTGCTATCGCCTAAATGTGTTCTGGAAAATAAAATTAAATCCGATTTATTTTAATTTTCGCAAAATATTTTATTGTGGAAAGTAGGATCAAAATTGTTACGCCTTAAAATAATATAGGATACCCATATCATGAAATCTACCAAAAATTAATGGCACCTACGTGTTGCTGGAATTCAATTCTATGGTTTTTGAATTAAGCACGAGTTGTTGTTCAAAGGTTGTGCTGGGTGAATTCGGTCAAAAAGTCTACACGCACCATCAGAAACTGGCGCTCTACCACGCGCTCCACGCATGATACATATCGATGTGAATAAGTACAAAGTATACCTATAAATTACCGTAGATAACATCAAAGACCCGTTATATATATATCATTATCTAGCTTTTGGTAAGCCGTTTATATGTTTCGAAGAAATGTTTGCAGCAGCGCTAGCCTGTTTCAAGCAAATTTTCCTAAGGTAAGGTGTGTCTTGAGGGCAGCTACGCAAGGTTCGTACTAATTCTTGTAATCCACAATTAGGCTATTTTTATGTAGCTTGCAAGTTTCCATTGGGCAGAAATGCCGCAAAATGTTAATATACCACAAAACATAATAAATTTTATAGTTTCAGATCAATTTCGTAGCGTCACGACGAAAATTGAAACAGACGTGTATATTAATTTTCAACCACAAAAATTTCCTTCATTGAAATGGATATATATGCTTGGTATTTAACACCATTACTAAGGCATTAAGGGTAGATTAGCGCTGAATTACCCAGATGAATGGACGTCATGGTTATTTATTTACTCCACCGCTTATGTTGTTCTAATTACAAACGGCCAAGTATTAACAACTAATAAAATTAGACATAAACGAGCGCATCGATTCCCAATACTGATCAGAAAATCCGGAGGTGGGGATAATTGAATTATCTTGCATCGCAAGTGGCGTGGCGTCAAAAAATCGACGGCGTGGAACAAGCGATTTGGAAAAGAGATCAAAACTAAAACTTTTCAAATAATCCTAATATGATTGATTATGCGTTACGAACGCTTGCTATTAGTTTG